GATGGAGTATTTGGAGTTGGACATTGTTATGAAAAAGGAATTGGAGTTGAAAAGGACGAACATAAAGCATTCGTTTATTATCAAAAATCTGCAGAAATGGGACATGCCGATGGATTATTTGGAGTTGGGTATTGTTATGAAGTAGGAATTGGAGTTGAAAAGGACGAAAGAAAGGCATTCGTTTATTATCAAAAATCTGCAGATATAGGAAATGTTGGTGGAACATATAATGTTGGATATTGTTATCTTAATGGAATAGGAGTTGAAAAGGATGAACGTAAGGCATTCAATTATTATCAAAAATCTGCAGAGATGGGGCTTGCTAAAGGAACATATTATGTTGGATATTGTTATCAAAATGAAATTGGAGTTGAAAAGGATGAACGCAAGGCATTCATTTATTATCAAAAATCTGCAGATATGGGAGATGTTAATGGAATGTATAATGTTGGAGATTGTTATCTTTATGGAATTGGAATTGAAAAGAATGAACATAAGGCATTCACTTATTATCAAAAATCGGCAGAAATGGGTGATGCTAATGGAACTTATAATGTCGGAAACTGTTATCAATATGGAATTGGAGTTAAAAAAGATGAACAAAAAGCATTCATTTATTATCAAAAATCTGCATATATGGGAGATGCTCGTGGAACATGTACCCTTGGTGAATGTTATAATTCTGGAATTGGAACTGAAAAGAATGAACATATGGCATTCACTTATTATCAAAAATCGGCAGAACTAGGAAATACTATTGGAACATATAATGTCGGATGCTGTTATCAATACGGAATTGGAGTTGAAAAAGATGAACAAAAAGCATTCATTTATTATCAAAAATCTGCAGATATGGGAAATGCTCATGGAACATATACCCTTGGTACATGTTATGATTTTGGAATTGGAATTGAAAAGGATAAATATAAGGCATTCACTTATTATCAAAAATCTGTTGACATGGAAATTACTGATGGACTGTTTAATATTGGACACTATTACCAATATGGAATTGGGGTTGAAAAAAACGAACGTATGGCATTCATTTATTTTAAAAAATCTGCTGATGTTGGAGATGTTAAGGGAGTCCGGAAACTTGGATTGTGTTATGAACTTGGAATCGGAGTTGAGAAGGATGAATATAAGGCATTCATTTATTATCAAATATCTGCTGATATGGGTGATGAACTTGGAATGAGTGATGTTGGTCGTTGCTATCAAGAAGGAATCGGAGTAGAAAAGGATGATCGCAAAGCATTCACTTGTTATCAAAAATCTGCTGAGATGGGATGTTCAGGGGGAATGTTTATGCTTGGTAATTGTTATTTTATTGGAATTGGAGTTGAAAAAGACTTACATAAAGCATTCATTTACACTAAAAAATCTGCTGAGATGGAAGATGCATATGGAGCATGTAATCTTGGTATCTTATATCAAGATGGAATAGGCGTTGAAAAAGATGAGCATAAAGCATTTGCTTATTATAAAAAATCCGCAGAAATGGGAGATGTGGCAGGAATGTCTTTGGTTGCCAAATGTTATCGAAATGGTGTTGGGGTAATACGAAACTTACAAGAGGCAAACTATTGGTATGAAAGGTAATAAAAATAAATTTTCAAATTTATTATCATAATTTATTAGAAAATTAATATGTTTAAATCATTTAATTAGGGGAAAAAATTATATACAAGGTAACTTTTACTGCATTAATTAATTCTAGAATAAATATAAAAACAAATTATAAATGCACCGTGGTGTTCAACACCATATGCGATCTTTTCTAACAAAATGACCCTTCGGAATTATGATTTACATAGTCCCTTGAAGGGTCATTTTGTTAGAAAAGATCCCATATATTAATATATACTGCAGTGTAACATGAAGGTCAAGTCGAAACAAAAACAGAATGCATGTTAGGGTTCAAAAATGTTTGCATAAAAAAATTTTGAGCTATAGCCAACAATGAATATAACGAAAACCTTAGCTGATTCAAAATTCCGATATACTGCATATTCGCTAAATTTGCTGGATCGGAATAATAAAATAGGCTTGACAAACTTAAATTCGGTTATTAAGCATTTTGAACCGGAAATTTTAATAGTCGCTAATCAATCGCAATCACTGAATAATAGAATAGTTAGTAATTAAATAAAACTAGAAATCACCATCTGAAGCAAGCTTGAATATTATCACCTAATCAAGCGATTAATTGAAATTACTGACAGACATTGTATGGTTTGGAATGTGCTTGCTACGCCTAGGGTGGCTGGACGAAGTCTTCGTTATACTAATTTAGCAATTTCATTAATAAGTCTGCTATACTCAGTGACAAAATTGGACAAAATTGGACATTCGGACACCTTTGGATCGGATGTCCAATCCAACGTCCAATCCAACGTCAAATCGTGATTCTTGGACATTTTGGCAGTTGGACCTTGTCGATCTCGTATGCCCAATGTCCAATCCAAACCATTGGACCATTAGACATGACAACACTGGTTATACTGTAACTTTCTTAGCTATCTTAAATGTTTGGAACTTTGATTTTGATCCAACTGTATAAGAAATTTTTTTCGGACAATGCTTTTACGTTACACTGTAGTCATATAATTAACTAATTTAGCTACAATATATTTTTAAAATTAATGGAATTTTTTATCGTATCTTAGCCAAAGACAGCAAGATAATATATAAAAGTCCTGAAATTGATGATGAATGGTTATATAAAAGTTCTGACGCCGACGATGATCTAAAAAAGATGTTAATAGAAAATAAATATAAGCTGCCATGGATTCCCTATGAAGAATTTAAAGATATAAAAGAAATTGGAAAAGGCGGATTTTCAACAGTATATTATGCTTACTGGATTAGTCAAAATATGGTCGGACCTGTTGCGCTTAAATTACTTCGTGGATCAAATAATTGTCGTGAAACATTTATAAAAGAGGTAAATTTTATTAAACTTTTTTTTTACTTATTATAAATAATATGGATAAATTAATATTTGTTATGATTTCTTTCAAAATAATCAGTTAAAAGCATATTGTGACATTGGTCTTAAAAATCCAACCTTTTTAAAATGTTTGGGTGTATCAAGGGATAATATCTCTAAAGATTACATCCTTGTTATGGAATATGGGCGACTGGGTTCATTACATGAAAATCTTTATAAAGTATCACAAATGAAATGGGAAAAGAAATTAACTCTATTGAGTTGTATTGCTTCAGATCTTCAGATAATTCATTCTCAAAATCTTATCCATAGAGATTTACATAGTAAAAATATATTATTAAATAGTTTTCAGAGTGCATATATTGCAGACTTAGGGCTTTTAACGTTAACTAACACGGAGTCAGATCATGAAGTATGTGGTATATTGCCATACGTAGCACCTGAATTGTTACGAGACAAGTCATATAGTGCAGCATCTGACGTCTACTCCTTTGGCATTGTTGCATATGAAATGATCTCGGGTTATCCTGCATTTCATAATATTCCGCATGATATCCATTTGGCGATTAAGATTCATAGAGGATTACGTCCAAGAATACCATCACACGCACCAGAATTAGTTTTCGAATTGATTACTAAATGTTGGGATGAGTTACCAAGTAAAAGGCCGACTTCCAGAGAAATATATGAAATTATTAGCAGGTGGAACGATGAAATTTCAAATGATAAAACAACAGAACTTGTTACGCAAATAAAAAAGGCTGATGAAGTGTGTGAAAATTTTTTGGTATCTAATGCATCAGAAATACATCCAGAAGCAATTTATACTAGTAGAAAATTCGACATACTGAATGTTTCGAATGATGATGAACAATCTAACTATCAAGGTAATTGTTAATCCTCTCATATTAGATGTCATTTTTAAACATTTTTTGTAAAGTTATCATTTTAATAATATTTTTCGTCAATAAATTTAAAAGAGAGCAGCGAAAGTTTAATAGTTATAGATCATACTTCACAAGATAATGTAATTGAAATTGAAAAAAATGAGAGTGAAGTATTCATGATAGACGC